TATAATTAATTACGTACATATCTTACTTCCTAATAAGGACTACCATTACTACACATTAATGAACCATTAATTAAAAACTACTCAATCATAAGTCAATACATCAAACACACACACACACACACAGAGGTGGTATAGTGCTCAAAACACAAATTATTTGTCGGAATCAGATCAAACTTTCTACACAGCATAAGGACATCAATATGCATCAGAAAATGTAATTAAAAAATTGGGATGATTTCGGAGCCATTTTTTGGAAATGAGCTATAGCCTTGGTATTTTTCTGATTTTTTAACATGGCCGTACATGCATCTTGAAAATTTCAATTTATTTAAAATTTAATCTAAAAACACACGTACAAACTTGCAAATCCCCAATTGCCTAAATAAAACTCCACTAAATTAAAGCTCCCTATGGTAGTATTAATAATTGATTCACTGACCTAATGTGGTTCATTATTATTCCTGTGTCATATTGAATGTACTGGATCAACTGATTTAACCTACCGTATAAGATGATTTGTTGGCAGGAGTTTTCTTTGGCGGTTTTGTGATGGCTAGCTTATTGGCGGATTTAATATTGGCGGTTTCTAACAATTTAATTATATCCCCACCCTTAGGCGGGGTTTTACTTAAGTGGTTGTGGTTCATGGAGAACATTATTATCAAAGAAAGACTGTACCTTTTCTGGAAGATTGTATTCTTTATCACCTGGTTTAGAGACTAACTTAAAGAAACATAGTAAAGCCATGTCAGCTAGCTGCTTTTAACCATGCTTTTAACTAAAATTAATGTGAGTGTGGTCACATGCATGAATGGAATTATTGCTTGCAGATTTTATTTTGGCGTTTTTATATTAATCTGTCAATCCACCAATATAAAATCCCCATCAACATTTCATCTTATACGGTATAATAATAATAATAATAGTTAGTATTATAATATTATAATAATTTGGTAATGTACATGTACATGTAATAATTTTTATAAATATTTGTACATGTACTTTAATTTACACCACCTCCCCTTGGCCCCTAACCCGGCCCCCTCACCCTGGTTGGTTCTTGAAGTGCTTTCCTCTTTCTGTCCAACAGATAATGTCCTCTTTGTAGTTTAGTTAACACGTGGGCCATGCTATACACTCAAGGACCATATCTGATAACACCCAAACAACCTAACAACAACAATAAACAACAACAAATGACATGTTATTATGTACATGTACATGTACCATACATGTTGCATTACAAGTACTCCTATCATCTAATGCTTGCTAGCTAAATTACCATAACTTGTACAGTAGCTTTTAAAAATGGATTGTTTCTTTCAGTACAATTAAGCATTAACATAATAGTTCAATTACCTTCGGCCAACGTAGAGTATTACATGTATATCTACATGTAAATGTACATGTACATGTATATCATTAAGACGTTAAAGTCATGTTTATACATGTATATACTAGTAGACGTACTTGTTAGAGGTTAAGACTCAGGTGGGTCCAATGTTAGCTGAACTGATGAGACTTGACAAGTTAAGGGACTCACTGGAGGCACCAACATAAGGAGAGGGAGAGAGAAGAGGAGGACAAGAGGACCGACCCTGTAATTAAGAGGAATAATTAGTAAACTATAATATGTATCAGGAAATGTAATAAAAATGAAGAATTCTCTCATTTTCATTTTTGGCAAAATTTGGTCAATGACCCTGTACAAGAGTACAGGGACTTTGACCTGATTTTTGAGCAACTTAAAAAATTGTAAAAAATCCAATTTTTAATCAGAATCAGCTCAAACTTTCCACACAACATAAGTACATGTACATGCTTATCTTACCACTGGTTCTTTTCCTGGTTCCATTGTCTGCCAACATCATCAATTAATAGAAATTCTCAAATAAATATTAGCACCCATCTTTATGATGGCCTGTGAGAAAAATGAGAATATTCTTAATAATAATAATAATAATAATAATAATA